CTTTAATACATCTAAAAGAATGAAATTATTTACTCGTTTAAGAATGTGCAAAAATAATTGATAAACCATTTGAATGAATACTTGGAAGATCTAAAACTGGTATATTTGAAGAAGACATTTCATATGCACTGATACTTGCAATTAGCATTAGAATCACGAAAAACTGTAGAGGTCCATATCGGTTCGCACGTTCACCTGTGTACCCCTTACGTGTTCGAATACGCGCAGAAAAGGAGAAGGTGTACAGCCGGCAATACTCGGCGCCTATCCTGAAGCGCAAGAGCTCCAGATTCGGACTGGGTCAGTTGCTGGGGTCCACCCCACCTAATAACAGTATACCAGGTAGCGTAGCGTTGCTGATGCTTAGCGTTAGACATGCCCCTTCTGTGTTATCTATGTTCCCACAAATTACACACGCATACACAACCCCTACTCTACCGTCAGTGTGAATTACTGTTGAGGATCCGCGGGAGCAGCGCGGTAAGTTCACCGTTCGACGAAGAAATTCGCTTTTCCAATATCTCTGTGTGTCGATTACGCAATTATTTTTTTTCATTAAAACTTGAATCAATATTTTTTACATTGTAAAATTACGTAAAAGAGGATTCGTTTTTTTAAACGTATCAATATCTTTAATTTAAATTTTGAAAGTTAAGAAACCTTGATTATCCTTCCTCATCAATATATCTATATTTCCTTCTGTACAATGCTTAATTAATACAGATGCTTGTATATATGTATTATAATATAAATGTTTGTGAATCCATAGTTTGCTGATGCGTAAGCCTTGCTAGTGCATGATTGCAGATGATAATAAATTTTATAGAGTTCTGATTTCGAAATGCAAGCATTAGTGGTAAGACTTTTTCTTAACTTTGTTCATTTTATCTAGCACAAATATTAGAGTTATTAGTTTGTTTTACTATAAACGAATATTACAGATGGTCACATTCATTCATTAAACATGGTGGACGAAGCCAGTGCTTTGCCAGGATACACGCATAAAATTGTCGACTTGGAGGAAGCTGACAAAGAGACCATGCACTTGCTGGTCTTCCTTCTAATGCAATTTCTTTCTAGACAGGACCAGGTACATCTTGTCATCCAATTACATTCGCCTGACTATACTATTTCAGTTGTTATCATTAATAAAAGTAATGTAAAAAACTATAGGCCTATCCGACGGATGAGAAACCTCTATCGAAGACGCAAGGAATCGTGCTGCGACATTTGTACCTCCTGCTAGGCTACAATCAGACTGAACGTACCTTCCACACTTCCCCGCAGCGATTACGGTATTTAATCAAATCTACATTCTTATATCTTAACAAATTAAATCTACAAGTAAAATTAATTTCCCAAAACTTCATAGCGAAATTAATAAATAAGTACAATTTTAAACGGTACTTTACATTGAGTCACAGGCTTTTGTATTAGAAAAATAAATCTTGATTTTATAATATAATTAAAAATCCTCGATTTATAATATATTATAAATGCCAAGATTGTTGACTTCCTTTCAGAGTTTCTCCGGTGTTCAACGTGTTCATTGCGAATTTGCCTCAACTGTTGGACCAGAACCACGTGATGGGATGGGTGATGACACCTCCAGTTCTGGCGATTCTTCAACATTGTCCCTGTCCTCCACAGGGAATACCACCGACTGATCACCAAGCGCCCACTTACAGCTTATGGTACTTAGAACCACAGAACAGACGCTCCTGGTTGATGTCTCTTCTCGTCATACTTTACAAAGTATAAACCGTTCTTTATTCTTTGAAGACGATCTATTCTCTCGAAGTCTCGTTTTTAATCTTTCATTGTAAATAGTGCCAGTACGGCCAGCAGCCATGGTGCAATCAGTTGCAAGTGTTGATAAAGATCGTGTTGAACACTTTGGACACGCAGCACCATCAGTGTAGGAGGATTCCGGCTACCGTAGTTATGGCAGCTCCACCATCCAGATCACGTGGTATAAATTTCATTAAATAATTAAATAAACAAATACAGGTATATCCATGTAAACGCATTACCCATATGGAATGAATTTAAAAATAATTGTCTATAATAATTTCTTCATATTTTCTATTAATAAGGAAGAGACGTTTCCAAAAATTGGTTTATTTGTTCCTAGACGTATCGCAACCATCTCTAGGCGTGGACCACGAGCTAATGGGTGCCATGGGAGACATGAACGCGGAGAGTCCACCGGTGAGGACTCCCATAGTATCCGTGCACCAAAGAAGCCCAGGGCCAGGACAAATGGAGACACACTGGGAGGAAGGCGCACCGTCCAGCCGTTACACGAATAAACACTCCAGGTTATTTAATTCACACCTACATTCTAGACGACACCATAGATTGCGCATAGAATGTAGAGCATTAGGCTACTTCAGCTTGGAATGTTGCATCATTTCTATTCTTTCCTTCAACGAAAGTGTTAACTAGCGAACAGTTTGTTCTTTTATAGAAAGAAAGAATGAGCATAGACTAGAAATTAAATTAAATAAAAATACTATCGAGCATGAAACGGGCGAACGAAGATCTGGCGAGGTAGAGCTTCATTTTTAGTCCAGGCTGATCATACATTAGATTTTCGACTCTAGATATCCAGGATCGACGTGATATCGTATAAAATATACACATAGACACACATTTGTGACTGTGCTTACACCAGTAGCTGGCTTGTTACAATTTCCGCTATTGTGAATGCTCTGCAAAGCTACTCGATCAATGCGGATGATACGGAGGCCGAGCTGGCCGCGATACCCGAGAGCCCAAAATCTGACAGCACGTTACATGGCAGTGGTGGATCGCTCGGCGACCTGGAGGAAACGCCGATCGTCGTCACGAGGAGCGTGTCGCTTCAGGGATCGAGGACTACGACTGACATCGTGGCAAAGATCGATTGGAACAATCAGGGTGTCGTGAAAAAAGTAGACAGCTCGAGTCGACCGACGTGGTTTCTTGGAAACGAGGAAGATTCTCATCAGGTATTTCACCTTTTGCGTTTAGAATTTTTCTGTTCATTAAATCTCAAACAGCGAAGCAGTGCTTTATGATGGAGTTTAATTGAAAATTATTTGACCAGGTTCCAAAACCTCAGAAGAAATGGAGTGTGCACGAGGGCGTGAAGATGATGGTGACGAGCAGTTTGTTAAGCGGTCAAGCGGATTTGCAAAGGTACAGTGGCTTAACGAAAACCGACAAAATGGAGAAAACGGAGAAAGGGATTTTGGAGAAGGGCATACCGGAGAAGCCGGCGTCAGAGAAAGCTGCCAAAGAGACGAACATCACTGTCCAAATAGCTTTCAACGGAGACACGGCCTCCTCGAAGCCGTTTGGATTGTCTAGTGCCCTAGCGACTACCATTCCACGTCAAATCCAAAGGTAACACATAAATCGATTAAAGTTTTTCAATTTATAGAAATAAATTGTCATACATAAAACAAATGAAGAGTTGAAAGAATGATTCGATTTAATCCCGTTATAGGCAGGATTTACAAAAGGAGAAGGCGCCCACTGCAGGGTCCAGTGCCTCGGATTCGCCGAACTCGAAGCAACTGGGTCGCCAGAAACGGATAGAGCAAAGTGTAACCGTAGCCTCGCCCGTTTCTCCGGGTCAAGTGGTTACGGTCACTAGCAGCGATCAATCGAGTTCGCCGGCGGTCAGCTCGATCTCGTCCCAGATAACAAGCACGGAAAACGGTCAACATCCTAGCTGGCACGAACCTCCCCAACCCCTAACGGAACCGAACATCGAGCGCCTTTTACCGATTGGGACCACCATTCGTTCGAGTGGTAATTATTTATTTTATTAAATAAAATACTTGTATCAATTTAAAAATGTTCTCTCTTTGTTCATTTAACCATTTTAATTTACCTGCATGTATGCATTCTTTATATTTCCTGAACATTCAATTCTTTTATAAAGATACGTATACTAGTTTCATACTTATAATTAGACAACAGATATAGATATTTATGAGAAATATAAAAGACATGTATTATTCAACAAAATCCTATCTAGATTTCACTTTCTGAGATGACAAATATTTTATTTTGCATAGCTTCGCGACCCACCCAAAGAATCTTACGATGCGAGGACACTTACGGTTCGCCAGAATCGCCTTTGTCTAAAATGGACGTTCTAACAGTCAGTTAGTATAATATTATATTGAAATAAGTGAATTGAAATTATTTCAAGATATAGATATCAATGGTAACAATCGTTTTCAGGTTCCTCGTTTGATCAGGATAGCGAAACTTGCGTGTCAAGTGATATAACGAGTCCACGAAGCATATCGCAATTGGAACTGCCGATGCCCGAGCGACTGTTACCCGTAGGTCTCCAGAGAGACTTCACCGGCCTCGTGGAGCATGTTCGCCAGGCGCTTGGTGTTCGAGAAATAGAAGGTATCAGAAAACGAAATGTACAGATCAGCATTCATTGCTGATATGATATACGAGAACATGTTAATAAAATATAAAAAATGCTTCAATTTTTCAGATTCTAATAAATCTAACAATGGAATTGTGAAAAGTGACGGTCAAGTGCCAGTGAAACAAGACAGCACCACGTCAGAAAATGTGGTAAGAAGACATTATCTCCTATGTCTTATTATATTTGGTGCATATTTCTTACTTTGTAATTTTCCTATATTTTTTAATTTTTATGTATTTGAGATAAAGAATTATATGCAGACAACATTTCATATGCACTAGCCTAATTTGCACCTGAATTAAAAACATAATAAATTATTATTATTCAGTCTCTAGTCCCAACATCGAACGAGATAAACTCGAGTAGGTCGAGTCCGAGGAGATTGATCAAACAGGTAGCTCTAGAATCTCCACCTCCAGCGATAGACTTTCCAGATTACCCCTCCCGAATTTTCGATCCTGATCGCCGACCTAGAATACGGGATCACGTTCGTATTCAACGCGACAAGCCTCGGAGGGACGGTGGCATCGGTCAAGATGGTCCACTTGCTCGACGTACTGAATCTTGGTATTTAGATTTTTAGATTTAGATTAGATTAGACTCAATTGAGTCTCGATAAATTGAATCGTATTATGACAATTTGTTTTCACAGGTCTGGTCCTCAGATGCAACGCAATCTCGACATCGCCACGCAGCAGGCTTACCATGCTGACTTTAGTTTGAAACAGAGCCTATTCCGAATCGGCGACGATTGCATTTACGAAAGGTATTACAATTATGAACAGATCAATCAAATTGTTTTTATACTAATTATTTTTTTACATAAGATCCTTTGAAGGATCTTTACATCGTCACCGAAACTATGGTATTTAATTTTTTAATCAGATGTTCAGAATGTGGGACGATAAAAGAAGAGTACTCTGACGAAGAACTCGGACTATGTATCATAAATTTGGGCACATTCATCCATCGCGAGCCGTCCTTGGCTGCGCCGCTATTGCCAGAAATCCTACGCGTCGTTACAAAGTCTGTTCTTCAATTTATTACTAGACTGCGAATTTTTCTGCATTATAAAACATTTGCAAAATTGCAGAAAACTTACATAATATCAATAAATATGTAGAATATTTAATTTATAATTGTCTTTTGTAGTTGTATTCTAAAAAATTCGCAGTCTATTTATTACAATTGTATCCTCATCCACAATTATTTCCCAGCACTTTGATGATTTTTTCTTGTTCACAGGGTAGCATTGAACGCGATGTATCCTTGGCAAAGTGAGACCAACATGCACCTGCCCGGTGGCGCGATCAGTGTCGCGCATCAATTTCTTCGTTGCGTTCTTCATCAACTGGCACCTAACGGTGTCTTCTTGCAGATGTTCCAAACGCATCTTAATGGTATCGTGATATTACACCCAAATTCAACTTCTTTTAAATAAATAATCTCTTTACTAGAATTCATGGGTGCTATTCTTTTGTAGAATCGACAAGAATGCAATTTTTCAAAAGCGTCACACAGGCGTTGGTTGATTTCAACGAATTAAATCCAATAGCACCTTTGCAATTACTGCTTGAGGTAGGCTAAAACCAATCTTTATCTAGTTTCCATTTACAAAATTACTATAGTTTCATCTTATACAAAAATCTGTAGTCAATTAATCGCTTTACAATTAATTTCATAAGAGAAACGTTGAAATTTAGGCATTGAACGGGAAAAAATCTCTGCCGATGGAACGTCTTCCAGTAATACTGTTCAACGTAGCTTGCTATCTGAGTTGCCTGCCGCTGGAGGCTGGGTTGGGACCAGGCGCGACGACCTGGAGCGGCCTGCTGGCGCAATTCGACTACTTCTTCCGCAGGCTGATCTTTGTACTCTCGTCCATCGAGGACACCGATCCGTTATTGAGAATCATGATTTCCTTATTGAAAGTCCCAGGCATCCAGCAATCGAAGGTGAGCTTACAAATAATTCCATGGAAATTCATTTCTCGTTCATTATTAATTTAAACTTTTACATTCTTTTCTTATTCTTGATCAATAAAAATGTATTTGTTAATTCCGATCATAAATTAATGATATTTGTTCATTAATCAATTCACGATCCTCTGATCTGTTTGAGCAAAGACTCTCAAATGTTGATGTTGAAATAACTTTCGCAGAGCTTGTTGGACCCGTTCGCCAAAGTATTGAGCTACGCCATCCAGAACTCGTCGATTAAATACAGTTACCTGACAGATCTATGCTACCTGTGTCACAGAGGGTTCATTCGGGACAGGGACAAACACTTCTTCGGTAGGACGATCGTGTTCGAGCTGATACAAGCGATCAAATTCAAGACCACGATACCGGACTCGAATTTCCTGCTGCTCTTGCATTTCGTGCTTCAGGTAAGCGATCTTCAGATACTTGAAGCTCGAGACGCGTTAAATTTGAATCGTTTAGGATATTGGAGGTTCGTTACCCAACACGATCGCCTTGGAGAATATGCAAACGGATATATCGCAGATTTATAACACAAACGCCTCTGAATCTTTGAAAAATCAACTGTCGGACGTGCTGGACTTCTTGACTGACTTTCATACACTGAGCAAAGTGAAGGTAACGACGAAATAATAAATCTTTTAATTACACATCCTCTATCGATTCCGTTATCCATTCGTCATCTTTAAGGATGTATTGGCTATACAGTCAATCCCAAAAGTTTATGCACGTTAGAAACGCATTTTTTAAAAAGAAATCACACATCGGAAGAACATTGCT